TGTTTCTTCTTTGAAGCCAGCTGGCCCTGGGCTGAAATGTGAATCAAAATAAACCTCTCCTCCTTTAAGTTGCAGGTATGTCCCAGTAATGAGAAAGTGACTAAGACACTGGCCTTTCTTAAATCAGGTGTAGTGGCACATACTGTAATCTCAACATTCTGGGTAGCAAAGGCAGGAGGCTCATAAGTTTGAACCCAGTCTGGGCAACTTAGCAAGACCCTATCTCAGAACTAAAAAACAAAATAAAAATGGGCCTGGGATGTAAATCACTGAGACAGTCCTGGATTTAATCCTCAGTACTGCAAAAAGAAAAAAAAGAAAAAAAAATCTCTGACCATTTTTTAGCCCAGCAAAATGGAAGTCCAACCAACACTGAGGATGGTGCCCATGTATTTCACTTAATTAGACCAGGACCTCATAGTTTGGAATCAGAGTTCCAGAAGAATGTTCTGCCTCAATGAAGCATCTATTGTGTCCTCACGTTAGAAGACTGTTTTGTCACTGTGACATTCATTCCGGAATTTAAAGACACATTTCCTGGCCTTAACACAAATCTCTTGACACCAAATGTTAATCACTCAGATGAGGGATGTTTTCCACAGTCATCTTAATGTGTGCTTCATGTTCCAATGCGCTATCTAGTTGTGGAAGTAAATGTTTTTCATTATCATAAAATTTACATGCTCATACATTGCACTGAAAGACTTATCCTGTCTTGGTGATAATAAACTCTTCAGTCATTTGGAGGCAAAACGTCATAGAAATTATTGTGAAATGGCATGACGGAAATCTCAAGGAGAGGAGAGACAAGGAAGCTAAAGAGGAAAAATAATACTGAGTTTTATTTCTAATTCACTCCACATCTTGAGAAGATCGCTTGAACTCTGGGAACCTAAGGTTCACAACTTGTAAAACAAAAGGACTTTGTGTATAGTGACCACCACGGTCATTCAACATTTCTTCTTTTCCCTCTACTCCTAATTCTACTCATAACTAGTTCTAGAAACATAAACAAAAGTGCTCCATCTCTTTAGATTTGATGATAGTGATGACAATTCTGGCAGAGTTAGTGCTTACCAAATATTCTGTGCACCACCCCCTATTTCTCAAGCTCTCCTGCAATTATGTGGGGACCTTGTGATTAGTTCTGACCAGTAGACTGTGAACAGAAACAACGATGTCACCCCCAAGCCAATGCAGATGAGAACTCATGTACACCTGCATTCAAAACCCATTTTTTAACCTCTTCCTTATATGGCTTTTTGCACATCATTAGCTATCCAATTTAGGAATGTGTTTCAATTCATCTATAAGACTCTATCGAGGTCTAAGATGTTTTGTTGACTCTTAAACCTTTTGTGAACAAAATGTGAAATTCTGAAATTGGTGTTCCATGCTCCAGAAGTCCACATTGACAAAGGTAAGAGTAATTGGATTTTTTTTTTTTTGGTTTTTTCTCCGGTACCGGGAACCGAACTCATGACCTTGCACTTGCCAGGCAGGCGCTTTTGCCGCTGAGCTAAATCCCCAGCCCTGAGTAATTGGATTTAAATTGATCAAAGAGAAACTACACCTGACTTTTTCCTGTTGGACCCATGTTCATTGAGTTCAGGGTTTGTCTTTGCTGTTTGTTTGATTGTTTGATTGATTGTTATTAAGTAGTCTCTGGTTGTACAGATTCCAAATCCATAAGTTTGAATGGAATCAGATGCAAAGGTCTTGGATTTGTTTCAGTTTGATTAAAGTTCACTGTTCTTTCCAAACACAATTCCTCCAGATTCAAACCCCAAATCCATCTAAGCAATGTAGAAGTATTGCAAGTCTTAATCCCTACTGAAATAGCCAGATCTGTTTTCCTGGGATTTGTTACAGTGAACTTGTAAATATTAGAATGTTTTGTGAGTACATGTATCACCCCCCTTGGAAAATTTGAGATTTGTTGCTCAACCTTAAAATGAGAAAACTTGTTAGACTTGCCACTCATAAACACAGCAAATAAATGAAAATAGGAAGGAAGAAAATGCATTTAACTTAAGTTCTACAAACAGAATAGTCAGTTCTGCTTCCTGTGTGTTCAGAATGTCCTAAAGGTGGGTATTTGCCTCCAATAAAAATACCCATAAGGAGAAGCAACGCCAATGAAGACTGTTCCTATAAATAAATTGAATAAATAGAGAAAAAATAGGGCTGCTAGGGTGAATGTAGATATAAGCATCCCTTAGGAACATATTCCTCATGATAGTGTTAGGGATTCCAAAGCAAAATGTCTAAATTCCTGTTGTACCCAAAGTGAAAGTGCCAATCAACCATCCCTATTGCTTCATTCCTACATATGGGAGAATGAAGATCACCAGGCTCATTCGGAAAGTGACTGTAACTGCCAGAGAAAGATCAACTCAAACAACAAGAAAACTGGTAACACGGAGGGCATCAAAAATAAATGACCCTCAACATCATCCTTAAAGGTACTGGCAAAATATCTGTAGTAATAAAACAAGAACGCAATGTTACATAAAAGGAATAACCTATGCACATAAAAAGACAGAGTGGAGAAAATCTTCAGAACTTAGAACAAAGTAACAAGTAGGGAAAATCTAGCAGAGCAACACCTGCTTACAGCTATGTGTATGATTATGACAGCAAAGAGCTACGAGCATAGTGTGCCAGACAGTGGGCTGCTTGCTGCTGGGGAAGGTGATTGAATGGACATGAGGTAACTCATTTTTATGTTACATACTCCTGTATTTTATGTTACATACTCCTGTATTAATTTTTAATTAAAAGTATAATCCTTACTTTAATCTCACTCATCAAACAATTTTTAAGGGACTGTCCCCATATGGACCGCCTCTCAGAGTGGAGAACATGGCAATCCTCTGAGAAGATGTTCTTATTTCTGTGTATCAGTGGATTTTTTTGAGGAGTCCATTAGATTAAATTAATGCTTTAGATTAAAATGTCTCAACTGAAGTTTTGCCCATGTACTTACTGTGGTATTGGAACATAAGAAGAAATAGGTATTTGGTCTCCACCCCTGGTTCTTGACAGAGAACTCAAACCCTTGTAATTTTCTGAGCAGTGGTCTTGCTAAGAGCATCTTTGGTTCTCATGTTTGGTCTTTGACCTGCTTCCTGACACAGACTTCTGAAATCCCTGGTGATGGGAACATTTTTTATTCTAATGAGGTGGCTATTGCTGGCTCCTGGGTAGGAGCTGGTCCCCAGAAAGACCCATTTAGGATTAACAAACTTGGAACAGTCTCACCCTTCACCCTCCTGGAAGGGGAGGGGGGCTGGAGATTGAGTTAAGAATCAGTCATGCCTATGTATGTAGCCTGCATAAAATCCCAAGCTATGGGGTTCAAAGAGTTCCAGGTGGTTGAACACAGAGAGATGAAGGAGGGAAGTGGACCCTTTCTCACAGCCCTCACCTTCTGCATCTCTTTCATCCAGCCCTTCATCTGTAGCCTGTATAATAAATCAGTAAATGTAAGTAAATTTCTGTCCTGGGTTCTGTGAACCATTCTAGCAAATGATGGAACCTGAGAAGGGAGACCTGGGAACCCCCAATTTAGAGCCTGTCCGTCAGAAGTTGTAGAAGCCCTTGAAGTGAGGATGGTCTCACAAAACTGAGCCCTTAGCCCATGGGCTCTGATGCTAACTCAGGTAGATAGCATCAGAACTGACATGATTCGTGGGACATCCAGTGGGTGTATGCCAGAGAACTAAACAGATGTTTAGGAAAAGCCCACTTCTGACAGGTGGTGTCAGAGTGTTCTGTGTTGAGAATAAGAACAGAGAAGGAAGCAAGTAGTTAATTTGTCTTTTGCCTACCCTCACTTACTACATCAGAATTTCTAAAGAAGAGGCACTGGAGATTGTTTTTAATAAGCCTCTCTCAGGTGATGCTTCCCACGCCAAAGTTAGGAGAACCACTGATCTAGAGCTGATTTGACCAGGACTGATCATGCTGGCCACCAATGCACTGCATCCCTCAGGTAGCCTGCAGCCTCCTCCTCTCCAACATTGGCTAGAGCAGCTACACAGTTCTAATTTCCAGATCGTAATAGTTGTGGCTTGATAGTCCAGATTCGAACTTGCAGATTATGGAAGCTATTATAAGCAGTGGGTAGCATAAACACAACAAACTGATCTGTCACCATTCTGAAGGCTGAGAAGAAGCACATGACCAGGTCACTCCAGGTCCTGAGAAAGGCCCTCTGCCTAACTTACCAATGGCCCTCTTTGGGTGGGACCCTCCCATGCCAGACAGCGAGCTCCAGTCTCTTTGTCTTCTTGCAAGTACACTAATCTCATCATGGGGCTCCCCTCTCATGGGCTCATCTCCTGAAGTCGCTGCCTGAATTCTTTTGTACTAGTGGCTAGGGTTGCTATGTGAAGTTGGAAAAGACAAAAATATGCAGTGTACAACATGGACCCTGAACTCCAGAAGTACTGGGAAATGGGAGGATGCTTAACATGCACAAAATTTGCACTTTCCAGAGCATGAACGCAACCAAAGCATCATTACAGTGCTCAGGAAGAGTCTAACTTGAGGTAACCTAAGGTCTTCATCTGTGGCTGGATGGCTGGCTGCAGCATGAACCTCTCTTTTTGAGATCAGCATTGTCACCTGACATCCTAACAAAGATAAAACAGGCTTCCAAAGCCAACCTACGCTGTAATACAAGCTCTTTAGATGCTGAGCTTTTGTTTACTCCTGAATAAATTCAATAAAGTGCAGTAACCATTATAATAAATGTAGATGTCACTAATTACAACACTAGATTTTAAGTGCAACACTAGTGTCTCAAGTGGCCTTTAAAACTGAGTAAAATCACAGCCGATTCAAATTTAATTAAAACTATCAGTTTAATTTAGTTTGCTTTTACAATAAAAACTATACTAACCCATTAACTGCATTCCGAAGCTCCCATTAGTGGGAGCAACCAGCAGCTTGTGGGCCTTTGCTTTGGTGAATAGAGCAATGCATTCACTTACCTTGTTACCCAGTGAAGTCTCTGTTGTTCAGGAGCCAATGAGCAACCAACTTGTGTCTTTGAAAGTGAGTTTCTTGTACTCTTCCAGGTAATTCACTCTGGGGTTAGAACAGGCTTTTGTCCAGCTTCTTGTGCTTTTGAAAATCCAGCCCCCGGAGCCTTCTGAGGACTTGATTATGGTATCCAATCTTGAGCTGAGCTCACAGGTGCTGAGAAAGGGTGCTAGAGTTTGGCTATGGTTTGAGTGTCTCCCCAAAGGCTCATGTGCTAGAACCTTGGTCCCCAGTTTGGGGGCGAAGTGATAGAACCTTTAAGAGAGGAGGTCTGGTGGAAAGTCACAGAGATGACACGATTGACGTTCAGAGATGAACAGACTAACAGCGGGCTTTCAGAGTGGGTTGTTACAAAGTGAGGCCACTCCATGTGGTTGGCCCTGGTGCATGTGGACAGTTCCCTCTGTGTTTCTCTGCTATAATGATGTAACCAGAATTACCTCACCACGGTGTTGTCACAATGTTGTTTGGACCCACCAACTATCAGACTCATAAGCCAAATAAAACTGTTTTCTTTATAATGTACCTAGCCTCCAGTATTCAGTTACAGCAACAGAAAATGGATTAAGGAAAGGGGCCTTTGAAAATGAATGAAAGAACATTGTCCCTCAGAACACGGAACAAAGTTCTCTACCTAATCCTACTCCCACTTCTGTAGAACGGATGCCTTGGATAAATGTCTGCTCTCCTTAGGAGCTCCTGTGTAGCACTAAAGAGATTGGAGCAGATATGATCTTCCCCAAATCCTACTTTCATGATCTTTGTCATATCCAGGTATTTCCTGACAATGCCTGTAATTCATACATACTAAATATAATGGGTTCCCAAGGCACCATCTACTGCAGCCTCATCTCAGACAAGAATATTTATGAACACATGTGGTTTAATGTTCCAGTTACTTCTTTTCTACTAACGCTGAAATAAGTACATAACAACTAAAATTACTCAAAATGCTTACCTAACATCATCTTTCATACTCCCAAAAGACCACATTTGGAGAATATTAGCCTTCCTGACCTCAGAGATCCCTTCCTGCTTCAGGGGTCTACAAGTCTATGAAAAAGAACTTTATTGCTTTACTCAGATAAGCAAATGCACACACAAAAATGAACTGCCTGCAGGGCTTGTCTGCCTTGAGCACAGAAGGTAGTTTCTGTTGAGAGACAAGCACTGATCAGAAATAAAATTCAGAGGGTTCTATATTTTATTTCAGAAAGAGATAAAGGCATCTAGTAATTTAGCAAATTTATGGCAAACTGTACAATCCAGCCAGATGTGAAGGAAAGAAAAATGAATCTTGTATGGAGGAATAACGAAAGCAAGAAGAGAAAGAACACAGATATGCAAAAGAGTCTGGAGTCTTTTAAGATCCAAGGGTGGGAAAAAACCTAGACTATGCCTGCGCTTTGAGACCATTAGTAAGTAACTTGAACACAAGTACTGAGCTCAGTTACTTGAACATGAGTACTGAGCTCGGTGACAGCTGATCTGCTAACAAGAGGGATACTAAGTGACCGATGGGTGGCCACTGAACACAGTCTGAATATGCTGGGCAAAGGGATGATTCATGTCCCACATGGGGTGGAGTGGGATGGGACAAGGTTTGACCCCACTACTTAAGACAGTGAACAGTTCAAAACTTATAAATTATTTCTTCCTGGGATCCTCCATTTATTATTTTTAGCCCCTTGTAATAGACCTGGGGGAACTCCTGCACATCGCATGGTAGAAAACTGTAAGGAGAAAAAGTTCATACAAGTAAAGCAAACAGTAAGGGCACAATACACACATATGACCTGCCTGAGTCCACCTCACAGGGATATCTTGCAAGAAACAAAAGGAATGTATGCACCATTAAGGGAAGAATTTGAAATTTCTATAAAAGGGCTGCATGTCTCATACAATCAGAACATTCTTCTTGTGGTGGGATTGATCAAGCCGGTGTAGGAACAACCGGTCAGCTACAGCTGATTTAGGTCACTTGCTGTCCTTACTGGCACAGCTGCATGGGTAGAAGCCTGAATCCCAGAAGGTCACAGAAGCCTGACCTCCCAGGTGCAGACCAGAGCAGCTGTCCTCTGCTGAGACACTCTTCTTGCGTTGCTGTCATCCAACAGAGCCAAGAAAGACCCAGTAGTGACTGCATAATGAGAGAATGAACATACAAACCCACAAGGAACAGACCATATGTGACAATAAAACTCTGCCCTACACCTTATTCCATCATCAACCCCAAGCAGGCAATAATGTTCAGTAATGCTCAACTTCCTTCATTTTTCCTCCACTTCCAACTTGGACCAATCAGAAAACCAAAAATGCTCCCCAGTCCAGTGTCTCAGGATGCCCTGGTTCTGGTTAGCCTGCCTTCAGATCCTGAGCAGGGAAGACTAGAAGCCTTCCCTTTCCTCTGCGAAGCCTTCCTGTTCCCCTGTCTGCTTTTGGGTCTCTGCCCAAAACAAGCAAAAGAGGCTGATACTCTTTCTAGATGGGAATCTCTGAATATGCGTATGGTCTCTGTGTTTTTTTGCTTCTTACTTTATTTATTTCCACAAATGAGATGCCCCTCATTCTGCTCCCGCCTGGAATTGCTCAAAGTATTGCCTGGGCTGATGTTCACCTCGCAGTCTGCTGGCTGAACTGAGAGACTGGCTGCCTGCCTTTGGGCTGTACCCACCAGATCCACACTTAATTCTTACATTGACCTTTTGCTCAGGACAGACAACCCAACACGTACATTTGTACAGATGCGCAGACACTACTGGGACAGGCTTGAATCATTTATAGATTCCATTGAATTATTGATGTCCTCATTCCATGTGTGTTAAAGGGTTCCACCAAAGTTTACCCTAGTGTATGCTCAGCCTGTACTGGGGCATTTGCTTCAATTTATGGGACATCAGAGCCAAAATGAAGGGGAGGGAGGCTTTTACCAAAAGTAAGTAAAGAGGATATTGCTGCTATTTTCTGCTACCACCCAAAGACCAAAGGACTACTAAACTCAACATATAAAGCATCTGATAAGTCTCAGATTTCTTTGATAGGGATCCACAAACTATGACCTGTGGCCCACACCTGTTTTTAGAAATAAAGTTCCATTGGCACACAACATGCTCATCTGTTTACCTCTTCCTTAGAGATGCTCGGGTCATTGTGACAAGGCAAAGTTGAGTAGTTGTGACAAGGATGCTATGGTTTACAAAGACTTAAGTATTACAAGAGGGTATTCTGTAAAAATCTTGTCTTTTGGAGAAAAAGTTCATCAGGTCCCGCTTAACCTCTTCATGAATCCTAATAGACGGGTACCCCATCATTCCATCATTTGATGGATATTCCTGAAGCATCCCTGAGATGCCAAGCTGAGCAGCCAAACACAAATAAGATATTATTCCTGCCCTCAAGGAGCTCCAGACAAGCTGAAGAGGGAGAGGAGAGAAAAAGGGAGGGAGACAGAGACAGAGAGACAGAGAGAGAGCAGGCACACAGTGAGAACCACACGCTCAGGGTGATGAGGTGTGAGATCAATAGCTGGGTTTCAGGGTGGAAGTCAATGAACAAATCACACAGTCTTTTTTGATGATTCTTCTCTAATCTGCCACCACCCAGGTGCATGGTTTACATTTTCCTGCCCCTGTTCTGTGCCTTAGGAAGTCCAGGCAGATGGTGCCTCCCAGGTCTCCTTGTCTGCTAAAGTCTCTCTGGGTTTAACCCATGAGAGGTACCTGAGGGAGACCAGAGGGTAGAGGGAGAGAAAGGCAGGAGCACATCCTCCCTGCTTCATGTGTCGCTCATGGAAGTTGGGTCCCAGCTTCTCCCAAGGATTCCTGCTGTCTGCCCATAGGGGTTGATAAAGCCTCTGTTACTGCTAGTCTCTGGGAACCTTACTCACCACGCCCTGTCCACTTTCATAGTCCTGCCCATACTTTGATCAATAAAGTCCCTCCCCTTGAACCATCTGAACCTGCATCTGGGCCATCTGTTTCTTGTTGGGGTCTTGACTGGGACCACTCTTATCTGGTCTTTAAATATTTCACTTAGTTAATCAACTGGCATAGTCCTCTCACTTACAACGATCGGTCAAAATACATCCATCCAACACACGCATGAAAAACAAGCATTATATCAGAGGATGGGCATCTAAAAGCTGATATCTATATTCATGAAAATGTCTTGTAACCAGCCTTGCTCAGTCCCATTCTGCTGATGTGCTTTAAGGATAAAAGCTCCTTCTGTGAGCAGTCAGAGTTTAGGTCAGGCCTTCTGTCCATACGAGCAGATGAACATCATTATAAGCCCCCTCTCAAGATCGCAATGTTCCCAAACATTATTGCCGTGCAGTCAACAGTTATAATAAGTAAGGCGCTCACAATAAGTGGCCCTGGCCCTTTTGTTCTCTTCTGAGTCAATCTCTTTATTGTTTTCGCTCCTTTGGTAGAGATTGTTTTAATATGTCCCATTTCTGAGCAAATTCTCTCAGCTCATCTTCAAAATTCTGAAATTCCACTTGGGTTCCCACCGGGCCATGTTTGTTTATAAGGTCACAAAAGGTTTCTTTAAGCTAAATCAAGCTGGGTAGCATTTCTGTGCCTGAAGTTTTCTATAAGCAATATCTGTAGCCAGACAGAGTGGGTTTTAAATCATTTGTAAGAGATTGAGCTCTGTGTCCAGGCTGACCCTAAGGACATTTCTTGCCTGTTTCTTTATTTTTTTATGTTGAATGACATAATGGATGTGAAAGTTCTTTGTGAACCATAAAGACCTTTCTAATGTAGGGGATTATGACGGTGACCTCACAGTTTGGGAACATCCTGTCCTCTTGGGTTTATTTTACTCTCCATTTTTCAGGCATCACTGGATTCTAAAGGAGACTCGGACTTTTTTCTAAGACCTCTTTTTCATTTGTGATAACATAGTTATTCATTTATTTATAAAATATTTATTGAATAACAACTATGTGCCAAGATTGGGGCAGAGCGCTAGGGCTGAAATGGTGTAAACATAGTTCTGGTCCTTTAGCAGTTTACCATTTACTGAGTTCTTATTATACATTGTGTGCTTCACACACATTACCTCTATTGCTCTTTACAGCTGTTCAGTTAATTGCATTATTTTCATTTTATAAATAACACGTAATAATAAAACAACCATGTCAATTATGAACATTTATTGAGTGTTGACTATGTGTCAGGTAGTGACCTAAATGTTTTACAAGCATCTCAGTCAATCCTCCAAGCATCCCTAAGAGTATTATGTTATCCCTTTTCCCCAACTAACAATTAACATTCTTGACCACTTCATACTGATAAGGCATGGCCCTAAGTACTTGACATGCATTATCTCATTTTCATTCTCTCAAGAACATCACGAAGGCGATACCACTATTATTTAATTGCCT